CCCCCCAAAATGTTTAACTCCCCCACCCCCACGTTTACGCACCTATAAACGTAAATACGCGTCCGGTGCCCCAGCGCGCAAAAATTACAATTGCGCTACACATGTTACATATCGCCGCGAACGTCGCAGTGAGAGCAATCATTTTAGGGCCATCAATCACTGATAACACTAAACTGATGAGCGGTAACAGCTTTTAAAGCGTCGCCTAGGGCCAATTTTGGGTATTATCGTTTTTTGAGGTTTCGCGCGCGCACGCAATTTTAAGGCTTGACATGTTTAGTGTCTTTTTACCCGACGTGACCCCATCTTTTATATTTTACCAAAAAACTGGGTAATAATAAATGTTTTATCATTTAATATAGGGGAAACTGTTTTTTTTAAAAAAAATTCGGTAATTTTTCCTTAATATAGTAAAAAAATAAAACCCCCAGTGGTGAATAAATACCACCAAACTGTAACTTTTTGCTTTAATCTCTTGCAGCCTCTCTATTGGCCATGGCAAAGGAATGCATCCTGAAACCAAGAGAGACATTGCTGTTTGTATGAGCGACCAGCAGCTTCGAGAAATGGTTCAGAATCACAGACAGGTAGGTCACCGACCTCTGCAGATAACACTTACCCTCCTCCAAGCATTTTGGAGGGTCACTGCATTTAAGAATGAAGAACTCTTAGGGGTGTATTTATAAACAGTTCTCAACATGCAAATCAAAACTAACATCAGACAAATACCACATTATGGCCACTAGATGGAGCTGAGGAGCATAGGAAATAAGTACCGGTAGTCCCCCCGAGTTACAAACAAGATTGGGTCTGTAGGTGTGTTCTATATAAGTTGGATCAGGTAAATTTTTTAAGGATAACTCCAGCCCAAACATTTTTTTTCGCTTTGGATAGCACAGGTAAGGCTTAACCCCCCTGTAAAGTTTGTTTTGCTGTGTATGCCCCTGTTCAGAAGATTTCACCTCACTTTCTGTCCTGGTGACAATTGGATTTTGAAAAGTTTGGGTTGTCGTGGAAACAAGGATTGGTGATAAAGCTTCAGTGGAGGCATCTTTTTGCCATGATCACTCTTACAGGAGTGAATTTCCCTTCCTAGGGGTAGATTTCCTCTCACTTCCTGTTGTCTCAAGGACAGGAAGGGAGATTTAGGGGGTTATGCACCAAAGAGCCGAAGCCATACGCCCCCCCTACGCTCACCCGCCCTGCAGGTCCGTGCGGGTGCAAGTGAGCGCACTCGTACGCTGACAGGATGGATCCTGTCTGCGTCCGAGCCTGGACACCCACACCCGTACAGACCTGCCCTTGAGGTGAGCGTAGGGCGGCATACGGCCGTGTACTCCCATAGAGAAGGACGGGGGCTGCGTATTAATCACACGCAGCGCCTGTCCTTCCCGGGAGCTGCTCGGTACGGCCCCGCACGGAGCTGTACGTGCCGGCCCGATTCCAGTGTGAATGAGGGCTAAGGGTCCATTTCTAGTGAACATTTAGCATCATTGGTGGCAGGAGAAAAGAGACGAACTCTCTTCATGTGCGCTGGCAACCAGACAGAAATGAGAAGAAGAAAGCCAAAATGTTACTAAGGGAGGTCCTTCTACAAGGACAGCCCACAGTCCTGCGTCTATAGGGCAGGGGCTTCCCAGAATGCAGTCTGTCTTCCAGCGACTTCTGAACTCATCAGGTCTGAACCTCACACAGCCCCGGGTACAACCTATAGAGCCAACAGCTACATGTCATGGTGCCACCCTCTTTGGTATGGGGATAAGCAGAGAAACGCTTTATACTTTATGCAAAGGCTCTTTGAAATAGCTTCATGTGAGAGACCTCCCCTGCCTATTGTACTCCAAACAGGGGCATAACTAGAAATCACAGGGCCCCATAGCAAAATTTTGTATGGGGCCCCGTGATTTCCAGTTATACCCCTTGCAGAGCCCACTCGAGATCCCACCTGAGGGTGAACTTGCAGAGCCCACCATAGAGTCTCTTTGGTGGGCTCTGCAGGGTCACCCTCAGGTGGGCTGGTCGCACTCCTTACCTGTCCGCCTCCTCTTCCTCCACGGTTGCTGATGGGCCCCGCCTCCTCATCCGTCACCGGGCCCGCCTCCTTCTTTGTCAGCGGGCCCCGCCTCATACCCTGCTGCCGACCACGTGGTCCCACCTCCTCCTCCACTGCCGCTGCTGGCTCTCATTGACTCTGTGGAGAGGAACGCGCTGCTGCACTGATTACTGTCAGTGATCTGAACAGCGGCGTGTTCGTCTTCAGCCGTCAGTGAAAGCCACCAGCAGAGGATCCCAGGCGGCCCAAAAGGCATCTGGCCGGGCCCCACTGTGCCACTAGGCCCCATAGCGGTCGCCTGGATCGCTATGGTGATTGTTACGCCACTGACTCCAACAAAGAGCTTCAATTACAAAATTCACGTGCGATGCCCCCTGCTGGTACAATCTGGCATTGCTCTAATGTTAAAAATGACAACAGTTCTATATAAGGATCAATGTATCTGAATGATAGAGTGTGAAGTGTGTAAGAAGGCCGCTACACGGGGGGGGGGACCAAAGAAGATGAGTGATCGCCACACGGAAATAAAGATTTGTACTTAGACCGTCATCAGTGAATAAAGACTGTGTTATCTTTGCAGCTTAAAAAAGAGATGCGTGCAGCACTGCACAGAAGAGGGCGCCTGCAGTCTACAGCAGTACAGATTGGCCGACCTCCGCAACTCCAGCCCGAGGAACCCAACACTCACGCCCCATACTGCTGGAAGACTTTTGGGTTAGGATTGACCAATCCTGGTTGAGGATACTGTAAGCTTCCCTAATACAATTGAAATGAAGTGCTGAAGGACGCACATAGTCTGCCACTGCAGACCTCTCATTCTGAAAATGCCTACGCAGGTCTGAACATGGAAATTCTGAAAAACTATTCACAACAATGTATCTTATTTGTGTATCACTCGGCTGCAGATCCTCCAATCATCTCTGACATTGTCCTTCCTTCTGAAGGGTGGCTACGTCTGTTACCCATTGTCCCTGTGTGTGTTGTAAAGTAGTCACCGCTCCAAGCTCACTCCCGGCATGGACTACAATCTCATGTTTAGTTTACTCATTTGTATTGAGACTGTAGTCCATTCCGGAGTGAGCTTGGATCAGTGACTACTTTACATCACATACTGGGACCATGGGGAACAGACGTAGCCACCCCTCCAGAAGGAAGGACAGTGTCAGAGATGATTGGAGGATCTACAGCCGAGTGATACACAAATAAGATACATTGTTGTTATGATGTCTTGTACGACTTTGTTTTCTATTTACCCCTTTTTTTGTTTTGTTCTTTGTATGTTTGTTTTTATTGTTTGAAAATCTTTATTAATAAAATCAGAATTTATTTTTAAAAAAATATACGTTTTTGTTAATAGTTAAAGGAGAACTATGAGGGGGGGGTGATTTACACTCGTCCTCGTAGTTAGAGCCGACCTGTGACATTGAAACTGTCACATGACGGCTCAATAGATCGGGAAGTGAGCGAACACATACCGTCGCTCGCTCACTTCTCGATCCTGTCCCTGCAGAGAGTGGTGACTGTCAGTCAACGATCCCCCCATGGATTCCCCCGCTCCGATCCGCCAGCGCTGACTGAAAGAACAGACGGGGAGGGGGCGGGCACAGCTGGCTCTGCCTCTAGATAAGTAGCTGGGTGATTCTCGACAGTATTGTTGGGATTTGTCCTGGCTGCGGCGGTCTCAGTATATGTTAGGGTACGTGGACTCCTTTTAACCGGACCAACAGTATATAGCAGGCAATAGCCCGCTATATACTGAGCTTTGGGTCACGGGAGGAGGTTAGTATATGTCCTCCCGTGACCCTAAAGAGAACTATGGGATAAAAATGTTACCCCATAGTTCTCCTTTAAGGTACTTGAATGCATTTTTTAAGGTTTAACTCCGGAGTTTAGTGTCACTTTAGTTTAGCTGAGGGGGTAGGATGTCCACCTCCTCGGCTTGGGAAGTGAGCGAGCGACGGTATGCGTTCGCTCACTTCCCGATCTATAGAGCCGACCTGTGACAGTCATTGTCACACGTCGGCTCAGATTATGAGGATGGTTGTAAATCACTCCCCTCTAATATTAACAACAATGTATCTTATTTGTGTATCACTCGGCTGTAGATCCTCCAATCATCTCTGACACTGTCCTTCCTTCTGGAGGGGTGGCTACGTCTGTTCCCCATGGTCCCTGCGTGTGTTGTAGAGTAGTCACTGCTCTGCTGGATCTATCCTCCCAGTTGAAGATTCGTCTTTCAAGCAGCTGCCGGCAGTGTCAGACCGGCCACGATCCGGATTACCCCACCAGCCAATGGCTCACATAGTCTTCCCAGGCCGCAGAAGTCAGTTTCTGCATGGCTCATTGAGGGACACAACTTCATTCAGGAGACCGGGGGGGGGGGGGC